GCATGGGGTCTTCCTCTGGAGGGCCTTCCCCCACCGGCAGCCCGCCCCAGCCCATGCAATCCTCCGCCGGATTTATGAACGCCTTGCACACCATGAGCAGTAACTATGATGCCCCCTCGCCACCTTCCTTCAATAAACCCCACCAAAATGCCTATGCCATGTCAACTAACTACCAAAACCCCATCAAAGGCTGCCCCTCCCAACAGAAATACGCCAACACGGCCCCCGAGTACGACCCCCACGTCTTACAAGGGAACGGGGTGGCCTACGGGACTCCCAGTATGCAGGGAAGCCCCGTCTATGTTGGAGGTAACTATGTGGATTCTATGCCCACCTCTGGCCCATCCCTTTACGGCCTCAATCACCTGCCACATCACCAGGCTGCCAACATGGACTACAACGGGCCTCCGCAGATGCCCCCGAGCCAGCACCACGGACCATGCGAGACCCACCCCACCTACACAGACCTTTCCACGCACCACGCTTCTTCTCAGGGCAGAATCCAAGAGGCGCCCAAGCTGACCCACCTGTGATAGGGAGCAGGGACAGGCTCAGGCAAAGCGGATGGGACCTCGCCACGGGGCGTGGGAGAGGGGAAGAGGGCAGGATCGGTTTCAGGAACATTTGTGTTGAGCTGTTTTCTTTTTTTCTTTGACAGGGCAATTTCTACCAGGTTGTTGTGCTTGCTGTTGTTATTCCTGGGTTTTATTAGGCACAATTTCCAACCAGTTCAGTATTTACTGCCAAGAGCAACTCTCTCTGAAGAGATATACCTCCTGTGTTTCAACACAAATGCTTCTGAAATGGGTTTGGGGTAGTTTTGTGGGAATCTAGCAGCTTTCTAGCAGCAGCATCCTTCATTTCCAAACCAAGTACAGATCGTCACTGATAATTCTCGGACACTGGAAAGGAGAATAGTCAGCCAGCCAAGTCTTTACAGTTGGTGTCTCTGCATCTATGTAAACATGCACACATGTATACATATGCAATCAAAAGAGATTCGCAAGAAAACTACCCTCCTCTCCAATTCCTTCTCAAGAGGAACCTCGCGCTTTCCTTCCCAGCCTTCAGAGGAAGGGCATCTTTTTTCGCTGAGTAACTTCCCACCAGTCCGCACATAAACTGCAAATATACACACCTGCCAACGCATTCACGATCTTCCCCTCCGGCCCCTGCCTCCCCTCTCAAAAAAAATTATAATAATTAAAAAAATTAGAATAAGAGAGGTCTAAGAATTGCAAAAGGTTCGGGAAACAAGTTTTTGAAATGCCTAAACCCCCCCCACCAACAGTAACAGCAGTCCAAAGAGAGGAAGAAAGAGTTGACAGGTCTGAATATTTTCCCACCTTTGCCTCTGATGACATGACGTCTCCATTCGACGACGCTGGGGTTTTTTGTTTTGGGGGTATTTTTCTTAGGGTTCATTAACAGAAAAGCAATCTTAAGACTTAGAAGTCCTACGCTTCCTTCCTCCTCTTCTCTTGACCTTACGTGAAAACAGGGTATATTTGAACAAACGGAATGTCCTCCAATCGAAGCAGAAGTGAATGGATCTCTAGTATTTGCTAATGCTTTCTTGTCTGGACATCTTTGTTGCACTTAGAGTTTACATATAATGGGTATAAAAACAACTTTGAAGGGCATTCGTCCAACTCAGTCGAGACGTCCTTCAATAGGTGTGTGTTCTGGTGAACATTCATATATATTTATTGGTTATAGCCAGTTTAAAATATTTTCCTTTTTTTGTATTATTTATCCCCAATATTATGTATTTATATGAGGAAAAAAGAATCAAATTGTACTTTTTTAGTATTTACTTGTTATAAAGGACATTGTGTTTCCTTGTCATTGTACAACAAGCTTATTTTAGTTATTGTAATTTAGAAAGACCAGTAGTTTTATGTTACCTTCGTACTTATGAATAATGTAATTAGTTCTACTGGAGGCATGAGAGCAGAACCAGACTGTAATTGTATAGTCCTGAATTAGAAGAACTATAGCTAATCCCTCCCTCCCACCTCACCCCTCCTCTTTGGAGATCTTTCTTTGTTCTTATAGTAGTTATTTTATTTCCTTGCTTAAGGGTTGTCTGTTGAACAATTCTTGAATAAACTTTCTGTTATCAATTTTATCTTGTCCTATCCGTCGGATTTAAAGACAAGAATAAATAACGCGTGAGTAAAAATGGCGAAGAGAACGCGGGGAAGGGACCACTCGAAACGTTCCGGAGTCCAGACGGCGGGGTTCGTGTCTGCGTCCCCTTCTGGGGTGAAACCCCGGGGGTTTGGGCCAAAAGC